TTCTTTTCCCTTCACCATCTTCTTCTAGATCTCCCTTATTCAGGGAGCAATTGCCCTCTCTACAACCACTCTTCTATTCTCTATCTTCCCTCTTACTCTTCATCCTTTTCTTGAATTCAAGCAGGCATGAGTGGGTCGATGGCGCCTCCCTCCCTCATCATTGCTGTCCCCACGTCCGTTCTCTTCCCCTCTCCCTCCCACTCCTTCTCGTCTCTTTCAGTCCAAGCACAGCACGACGATGTGGTGAAGACTTGCATCGACTACCATAAACCCCAAAGACCTATTCTAATCGATTAAATCATTAGACCGAACCGATAAACCAATAGTTTGTCGATTTGGCTCGACTCGATTTTGGATTGGTATTCGATTCGATTACCCAGTAATAATGGTATGTTAACATGTTCAACTTCGGTTTGGCTCCAAAACCCAGCCAAAATGAATCACTTGGGAAATTGACATTTTTGTACCTTCTAGTTTTTCAATTTAGAATTCTGAGTCCTTTTCCTCCGGCCTTTCCTGACACAGTACACTTTATATTACTTTCCTACCCCCATTCCTTCTCACCTTTCTTCGTCCATTCTTAACTTCTCTCACCCAACAAAACTTCAAAAACTTTTATTCTTTGGCTTTCGACTGAGGTTGGTTACAAACTAGAATTTTATCAGTTTCAAAAAAAAAAAAAATGTCAGAATCTATCAATTTCTCAATAAATTTTAGGCGGGTGAAGTTATAAATATTTATCTAAAAAAAATCTGAAAAGGAAATTCATATAACCATGTAGTTTGAGAAAAATGGGTTAAAAAAGTGATTTTAGAAAAATTGGATTTCTATCTAATTGTTGAAGTTTTTGTTGGGGGAGAGATTAAAGAAGAAAGTAAGAAAGGTGAGAAGAAATCGCCTGAAACCTAACCACTTATGAACCCGATAAACCCATAGAATTTGAGCATGAGAACCAAGGAATTCGCAAAATTTCACATGGACAGATTTCATTTGTGCCTGGTTTTGGGACATTCAGTAAAAAAACAAATCCAAAATCGAGGTTAGGTTAGATCGCACCTGTTCCAAGGTTCTCAGCTCCGTCAATGGCGACGCCGGAGCGGCGCACGGAATCGAACAGCGGCAGCACCATCTTCCTGTAGTAAGCAGGGCGCGAGAGCTCTTCCCGGAGGTCGATCTGAACATCGGAGACGCCGATCTCGGTCAGGCGGAGCCCTAGCTTTTCGCCGACGCGGGAGGCGATCATGGAGTCCCAGAAGTTGTTGGATCGGGGGAAGCGGTTGAGTTTCGATCGGTTGTAGGCCACGAATTCCTGCTCCGAGGATGAGGCCATGGCGACGATGGAGGAGCTCGCCGGATTTGTGACCTGAGCGCTGATTTTCCGGCAGGAAACAACCACTTGGAGGAGGTGCCTCCGGCTTCTCGACATGGAAATTTGCGGAGCGGAAGAAGAAATTAGGGCTTCCAAGTCGCTTCAGTTCTCAAGTTTCAACTTTGTTTCAATAAATATGTTACTAATACGAAAACAGAAATGTGAACGAAAATTTGTTTTCAATGTTTTTAAATATCCAATTTGCAGGAGATTTTTTTAGCAGGATTCGAAATCACAGCATGCTATGATAATATTTTCGTAAAATAAAACAAAATATTTAGTTTAATCTAAAGTAATATTAACTAATTTATTGATATTTATTTTATGAATTTCGTATAATTATTATTTTACCATATTATATAATTTAGAATTACATTATATTTTACCTATTTTAATTTTAACAAATATAAAATAAATTTATAATATGAAGTAATATATTTATGTAAGTTTTATGTATTTGGTAGGTTAAAAATTTAAAATTCTAAATCTATAAAAATATTGAAAACATAAAAAAGTCATTTTCAAAATTTATACTATTTGGATCATAGAATTCGAAAATAATTTTAAAAAATGAATCTTCCAAAAACTCTAGACAACGTGTATTCAGTAGATACATTTGATTTAAATATTAAAAAGTTCATTTGTGACCAATTACATGTATGAAATGAACAATTATTACAAGAAAGACAAAGAAGATTCAAGAGGCTTGCACACTTCATCTTCAAATGATGATTAATACACAAGAACCAACGAATAGTTTTGATCTCAAATTTATTTACAATGTTACTTCAATGAGTCAAGAAGAGAATTGACCAAAGATGACATTGGAAAAGTTGTCCATTTTGAGAGATGGCACGGAGGACAAAAAAAGTGTGCAGATTCGTGAACAGGTGTCTTTGCAGATTGCACCTCTTGGGAGTTTGTGAAGTCAAATTGTCAAATCATATCCAAATGTGAAGCGCCTCCTATAACACATAGATAAGACCATTTGAAGCGTGACTACGAATTCTGATCCGCATTTAAGTGTCTAGAATGATGTGCAATCAAGTTTTAATTTGCATGTCTTATTTTCTTCAATTTGCATTAAGTAGTATTTTGAAAGACTTTTGGTGTTCCTATGTTGAATGACCTTTTGGCCTATGTAAAGGCTTGTTTGTTTTGGCAGATTTAACATATTGAAATTCAAGAACTTTTGTTCCTTAATACATTTAGTGTTGCTTCTTTCAAATTTTGCTTTAGGTTTGATGTTAAACCGATTCATTGGATTAGTCTCGATCAAGCTAATTCTGGAGTGAGTCGTTTTAGGATCTAGGAGTGACCATCGTAGATTCTAAGCCCGATCTTACAGTGATTCATCTTCTAACCTTACTCTTGATTGGAATCATTCGGTAAGTTAGTTGTTTTTGTGAGAGTTTGCAAGGATCTCTAGCTTTGTAAATTTGAGCAACCTTAGCGCTTATCAAGTAATATATGTATCTAAGTTTTATGTATTTGGTAGGTTAGAAATTAAAAATTCTAAATCTAAAAATATTGAAAACATAAAAAACATTTTCAAAATTTATACTATTTGGATCATAGAATTCGAAAATAATTTTAAAAAATGAATCTTCCAAAAACCCTAGAAAACGTGTATTCACTAGATACATTTGATTTAAATATGAAAAAGTTCGACTTTCCAACAAACAAGCCGTAAATCCAAATTGTGCTTTTGAAAATTTATTTATATATTTATATTATAACATTTTAAGGGGGAAAAAACAATTCGATTTTTATTCTTGATCACTCTCGATTATATCAAATTAGACTATAAGATTATGATAATGTTGTAATTTTTAGCTTATTTTAAAGGGCAACTTTAGACAAGTGGGTCCCATTGCCACGAAAAATCGAAAAGTCAATAAGGATTTTAAATGTGTTTAGGAAAATGTTCTACCTTTTAAGTACGGTTTGAACTATTGTCTTAATTAAAAGTAAATAATTAGGTTTAAGGCAAAACCTATAAATCAATCATTTATCCAATTTGAGTACCTGTGTGGGATAGACGTAAACTGAAAACTAAAAAGGTAATTGACTTTAGTTTCTCGTATAAAATGATTGTTATGTGTTTTTCATTCTCACTAGCATCAAGGTATTATAAGTAGAGAGATGATATGAAAATTTATAGGTCATTAGAGAAGTTTGAGATCTTATACATTGATTTTTCCAAAAATTTCAAGGGTGGAAATTCATATTAGGACTGTTATGGATGAAACCCAAGCAGGACACGCGTCCGCTCCTCTACGGGCTAGGGACCATTGACCGTCACCTTCCTAAGGCGGGCATTGCCGAGCAGGACATATGTCTGCGCTAGAAGGAATGGGGGACCACAGGTGGTTACGCCCCTATGTAGTTGTAGCTGGGGTATGCATGCTGTCGGTACGACAGACACATTCCGCAGTCGCGGACGACGTGCCCAGAGCCGTAGGTGGCAGGTGCCACCCTACACCTGCTGGAAGTGCGTTCCCCTCTGACCAAATGTACAGCGCGCAGCGTCACAACCATACTAGTATAGAGTAGGTTGTGACACCTACGTAGTGGACAAATGGTGGCCACATGCATATGTTGCCAGTCGGACCATGATGAGGGTCGAGAGAGAAGTGTCGTGATGCGACCAAGGAGGATGGTGCATCATCTATCACACTCCATGGATGTACTCAAGAATGCCTAGAGAAGGCATATGCAGAATGTAAGGCGAAGGCGATGTCAGTGGGGCTCCGGGCCATGACCCTAGAAGTCAGGGTTCCGTCGATAGTTTGGACGAGCGGCTTTAGAGTTAGATGCATATTAGTGATATATGTAAATACGCTAAGTTTCGTGTCGAACGGAGTTCAAACGTGTGCTCTACGTTGGCAAGTGACTCCTCGTCACTTTGCACGTATATGTCTGCCAGACCAAGAATGCCTTAGAATGTACCTTAAGGGGAGGCATTGTGTCAGCCCTCCACCACCCCTGGGCCCTGTGGCCTGAGTGAGCTACCCCATGGAGCATGCGTGTGTCATGGTGTGGGAGAGCGTTACAAGATCAAGGTCTTGGGTGTCTTCCTTCGAGAATGAGAATCTCATGGACAGTGTCGGACAGCACGGGTGTGCCGGCATTACGCCTCGACCCTTGGCTGGAGGTTGCACATAGGGGCCGTTATGCGGTACGATATGCTTGAATGGCATGGCACGGGCGCAAGAGTCGTCGTGCCYCGATAATGTTTGGATGGCTGGAAGTCCGGAATAACCCGATCATAAATACAAGCCCATGGGTCGGTTCTCGGTATGCGTGTCCAAGTGAGCAGTGAAGTCCAATGACATCCTGATGCTTGGGGTGGCATCCTTCAGTACCGGTGGGCACCCGATAAGTGAGAAAAAGCTAGTATTGGCCCGATAAGCGGCAAGACTCATCCCGGTTGCCAAGTTTAGTCATTCCTTGTCCGGATCTCGACAGGAGTTATCCTGACAGTACCCGGTAAGACCGTTTAGCCCGTTATTGACTAGTTTCTTGGCAGGAACGGTCTTAGAGGCGTCCGATGGGTCCGATAAGCTAGTTTTGACATAATTAAGCGGTAAGAATCTCTCGGTTGTACCCGGTTGGCGTTTTAAGCTCGTTCTGATCTCGTTATAGGTAAGAACTCATCCCGGTAAGGTCCTGGCTCATCGTTGGAGCGGGACGACCGAGTGGCCGAGAACCATGATGGTTGAAAAAGTGAAATGAAGCTGAGTCGAGGAAGAAAGAACCTCGTCTAAGATCCGACGAAGCCACAAAGGGCGCGAAAGTAGATTGGGGCTAGAGTTTCCTGTAAGGCTGGCCATGGTCAAGGTTAGATTATGAAGCCGCACGGTTGAAAAATTTAGGATCGTGACACGCGGTGTCCCTGCCACCTCTAACCGTCGTCCTTTCCAGTCGGCCCCAGAGGCTATAAAAGGAGGGACCTTCATCTTCACCGAATAAGTGAAAAACCTGTCACTAATACCTCTGGTGTCTTATTCCTATTTCTATTCCGATTATTAACTTGATCATCAGAGTGTTTTAGGCGGGACACCGCACTGACGTCGAGTATTCTGATTTCAGGTCCATTGGGTTTCAAGTCAGACTCCTCATCCGTGTACCACGTGGTAGGACTATGATTTTACAAATATGACAACTTAAAAAATAAATCACACACCTATTTAACGCAAATTCTATTTTATCCCTTATATATCATGATATAGTCTAATATGGGAGAAGTTTTATTGAAGTTGTCATTTCATTATTCAATTTTTGAACGAGTTTGGAAGTTCTCCTGTCCAACAAAATTCCTTATAAAATTATTCTCTTATTTGTTTGAGAAACTCAATTATTTTATATAAAACAAAAATTATTTAAATATACAAGAAGTATAATTTAAAAAATATTTTTGCTATATATGTTTTAATCCACAGCATATGAGTTTTTTTTTTCTTTTCAATATAGTCCCTATTATATAAAAAGTTTCAATTTAACCTCTAATGTTTGAACATTTTTCAATTTAGTCCCTCACTAATGGTTAATGTTAAAATTAACCGATGATAAATTTATATAACATGATATTTAGTGAACTGGAAAAATTTAGATGACGAGAAATATCATCTCAGAAATAAAATTTTATAATTTATCCTCTAAAAGTTTAAAAAATTAGTAGAAAATTCAAAATTTCTTCTGTTGATATCTTGTTTTCATCTCTAAACGTTAACAAATTCACTAAGTTTTATGTCAGGTAAGTTTATCGTCAATTAATTTAAACATTCACCAATGGTGAGAGACTAAATTGAAAAACTTTTGAAGATTAAGAACTAAAACATATATTTAACCAAATATTTAATACGAGTAATTTAATATCTAATTAGTCTCTAAAACTAATTAGTTCCTCTATATGCTGAACTATCTACAGGGTTTGTATACACAAAGTCGCTAACCATGTAATTCGACAAAAGTGATAGGACCCACACTACTAAAATGTCCTATGAAATTTAAATTTTCACGACCAAAAACATCCACAACAGTAGGAAGAAGATGCAAAGTAGAGTTGCGTTTGCATACTCTTTGTCTTCTACATGGTGCAAACACTGTTATTCATTGGCGTTATATCGTGGTCGGAA